TTATTTTATTTTATTTTATTTTATTTTATTTTATTTTATTTTATTTTTTAGAGGGTCTCCTTTTCCCAAGACTGGCTCCTACTTGCTATGTGGTTGAAAAAGATCTTTAGCTCCTCTTTCCAGCTGCTGAGCACTGGGATTCCAGGCACGGGCCAGCACACCATTTATTCTGTACTGAGGATGGAGCCCAAGGCTACAGGCACTCTAGGCTGGGGTTTCCCTAATACTACACACACACACACACACACACACACATACATATACACACACACACATACATACACACACACACACATACATATACACACACACACACACACACACATACACACACATACACACACACACAGGCCAGATCCCCAGAACTGCCTTATCTTGTTTTTTCCCAAGTTAATTATGTTTATTTATTATTATATTTATTTATATTATTTTTATTTATTTTTTTTTTGAGACAGGATCCTCCTGGCTGTCCCTGAAGTCACTAACACATTCAAAAAAAAAGTATCAGTTTGCATACACCAGCTTATTTACGCTTGACAAAAATCCTCTGAGGTAGACCTTGATTTCCTGCCATGTGGGTGCTGCTGGAGGGTCATGGTCATTGTTTTGGCTCAGGTCATCCTTGTCCAGAACACTTGGTCCTAACAAGGACTGAGGCCCCAGAATCACAGCCAAGGCACTGTGGGGTATGAAATGACCTAACCTTGACTGCGAGAAACCACTGACTCAGCAGTTTATAGGAGCTGGGGGAGGGGGTGGTTGGGAACTAGAAGGGCTGGAAAGTGGCCTCTGTTTGATTTCCAAAAATGGAGCAATACTCAGAGTTACACATAGACATGGATAGCTGATCACCGGAGCCCTTGTGCTCAGTACAGTTCCATCATAGGCCTCGTCTATAGGCTGACACCCACAGTTTTCTGAGCTGACGCTGGTCTCCTGCTCAGGGGCTACTGAGGGTCATCTGGTTGGGGGAGCTGAGCCATTGTGGTTGGGCCTGCTAGCCAGTCCCACTGACCACTGCTGCTTCAGTGCTAAGTTCAAACACACTGAGAAGATATGAGCATGGGGTGGAAAGGGACCCAGGGCTGGCTGAGGAGCACCAGTAGGAGAGTTCAGCACACTTGGGACTTACAAGACCTAATTCTCCCTGAAAGATGTCAGGGATGCTAGCTGTGTGGGCAATGCCTATGGTTGGCCATGAACATGACTTCCCTATGGTCTTCCAGCTGCCTCAGGCACTGCTGCCCCTTTCTGCTTCAGAAAGCTAGCAGCTAGCACAAAGAGAGAAGGCTGTGAAGGGAGGTCTGGCTACACACCGCATCCAAATCCTCCACACTCAAGTCTCCTGCTCTGGTCTCCATTCAGGTGACCCCACTCACAGCACTGAAGTTTGCAGAGCTGACACTGAAGGCTGGCATTCCCAAGGGTGTGGTCAACATCCTCCCAGGATCTGGTAAGGACTGGGATGAGGAAAGGGATGGGGCTCAGATCATCCAGTTACACACATGACCCGAGCCATGTGGAAAAGGCAGTGCCCATGACCACCCTGTGGTGGAGGAGGCCACATCCTGGGGAGACACAGAGCTTTGAAGGGCCATGACATTCAGATAACTCCTCAGATGCTTTCTGTTTTGTGTATGAGTGTTTACCTGCATGTATGTTATGCAACACATGTGTGTAGTGCCTGTAGAGGCCCAAAGAGTGTTGGATCCCTTATAGCTGGAGTTACAGATGATTGTAACCTACCATGTAGGTACTAGGAATCAAAGCGAGGTCTTCTGAAGAATAGCAAGTATTCTTAATTGCTGAACTATCTGGGCCTGTTCTTTGCTTTTTAATAGATGGCTTAGTTCATTTATATTTAATGTTGTTTTGCTATAGTTGGATTTGCCATTTTACCTTTTGTCTTCTGTCAATCTCTCTTTTACTGCTTTATTGAATGGTGTCATATTTTAATTTTTTTAAAGTTTTATTTATTTTATTTGTTTTATGTATATGAGTATACCATTGCTCTTTTCAGACACACCAGAAGAGGGCATCAGACCCCACTGCAGATGGTTGTGAGCCACCATGTGGTTGTTGGGAATTGAACTCAGAACCTCTGGAAGAGCAGTCAGTTCTCTTAACCACTGAGCCATCTCTCCAGCCCCATATTTCAATTTTTAATATGGAATCTTGCTGTGTTACTAAAGATGGTCTCAAACTCCTGGACTCAAGTGATCCTCCTACCTCAGTCTCTAGAATACTGGAACTATATGTTCAAGCCATTTCACCTATCTGACAGTTTAGTTTTGTTTTTGTTTTTTTTTTTGGTTTTTCGAGACAGGGTTTCTCTGTGTAGCCCTGGCTGTCCTGGAACTCACTTGGTAGACCAAGCTGGCCTCGAACTCAGAAATCCGCCTGCCTCTGCCTCCCAAGTGCTGGGATTAAAGGCGTGTGCCACCACCGCCCAGTGACAGTTTAGCTTTTTAGTAATGATTTTTTGCCATGTGTATGTATATATATGCATATAAGTACAAACATACATGTGTATGTGTTAAACTTTTTCTTTGAGACTTTTTTTTAAATTAAGACTTGTGGGGGTTTTTGGGTTTGTTTGTTTGGTTGGTTTTTGTTGTTGTTGTTTGTTTTTGTTTGTTTGTTTGTTGGTTGGTTGGTTGGCTTTGAGACAAGGTCTCACTATGTAGTCCTGGCTGGCTTGGAACTCACTAGTTGGCCAGCTCTCTAGGTCATCGAGTGTTTTGTGCTCTTAACATCTTCTCCAGGACTTATCACTTACTCTTATCTGTGAAAATCTGCTTTGCACTGACCCTGGGCAAACAGAAATGCTGCTTTCTGTAGCTAGGGACCTCCTTTTGTGCTGTTACCTTTTGTGTATATACATAAGTATTATCAATGCAATTATGTGGCAACTAGTGTAACTACTGATGTTATCTTGTATCATTTTGCGTCCTCTAATGCAGCTGGAAGAGGGACTATCTTCTGCCATTCTTATCTGTCGTCTCTTTCCTGGTCTCATGATGGACCTCTCTGTCTCTGCCATGCCCTTTCTCTGGTTTGTGCCCTTCCTCTGTTATTGGTGTCCAAGGTGTTACAATTCTGTTTTACGGACAACAACGAAATTGTACAGCTGCCTTATGTGGTTGCTTTTAAAAATCTCTTAAAAGATGAAAGAGAAATGAAGTGTGTGTCACATTGCTTGAGTAGCCATATTCTTGGTTCTTGACCCCTCTCCTCTTTCATGGATTCTGACAACTATCAGATACTGATTCCAGATCACTTGCTTTCCCCTCTGAGAGCTTCCTTCCGTGTTTCTTCTACTTGACACAAATCTCTCAGTTATCTGTGAGATGGTGTCCTTATTTTCCTCCATTTTTTTGAAGACCTAGATGGCTTTGTCACTCCATATCCCACCCCTTCGGATTAAAACAAAAACATTTTCCCATAATATTTCTGTGTTTTTCAAGAAATCAAAACTCCAAAATTGTCACTACACTCTACTTCAAGTTTGAGATCCTGGGCTGCACAGAAAGACCTTGCCATAAGCAATGTTTTTGTTTTTCATGCTGGCTTGCTTTCTTTATATCTGGAGAATCATCTCTGTGGATCTTTTCCTGGTTTTTAGTAGCACATTTGTTTTCTTAAATGCAGTGGGTTTTTTTTAAATACTGTTTCATATTTTAGATATGAGTCCCTTGCCACATACATCTTTGTAAACACTTTCGCCACTAAGCAGTGATTTAACTGATATCAAAATGGAATTAACTTCGAGGTCAGCAACTCCCAGGTTCTCCTCTCAAATAAGCTATGTATGGAGTAACCAGTTTACTGGAGTAGAGCCCTGGGACTGGATGCAGGGACCAGGGCTGGAAAGATTAAAAGCAGCTCTTCAAAGGTGTTGCATTTGAGAGGCCCTAAACCACCCAAGCACGAGGCTGAGTAAGCCGGGATGAGAGATGCTTCTAATTGCAGGGAGTTTGGCTGGTGATGTATATTTAGAAGATGACGTATCTAAGGGTGGCCTTTGGAGATCTGGCCATGATCAGCTGAGGAAGCCCTGTAAACTGAGAAGTGTGAGCCTAGGACAAGCTAGCCCTCGGTGTTTGAAGATTGCATAAAAGACAGAGATGGGAAGGGGCAGTCAGGGAAAAGAACAAACCATGAGAGCAGAAACCAAATCAAGAAATAACCTGCGGGCTTAGGGAGGGGTTCCTATTGATCCCGAGAAAAAAGCAGCAACCCACCCTGTGATCTCACTGAACGAGGGACCAGGAAGACACCAAGGACTTAGCCACTGATCAGGCTGAGGGATATGAAGGAGGGAGGTGTACTATGGGGCTGACTGGAGCTTGGTAGTACAAGTAGACAGGGCAAGAGTATCAGCACCCCAAGTGGGGAGCATCCCATGATGCTCCTCCATGGACCACAGTCAGTGATGACCCTGACATTTGAAAGTCACCAAGTTTAGGTGGCCTCCAGTCACCCCCAATTTCCACAGTGATGTAAAGTGTAGTTTCTAGTACCGCCATGATGAAGTGTTGAGCCTGGGAGCTTTCTCATCAGACAGCGATGGTTACAGCCCTGGGAGCCAAAAGCCCAGGAGCAGAATTGACAGGGTGGCATCCTCTGAGACTCCCTGTTGTGAAGATGTCACTGCGTCTGTGCCTTCACATAGCCATCTCTCTGTGTAGATCTGTATCCTGATTTTGTTTTTATTGGGACACCAGTCACATCAGGTAGAGTCCATCCTGTGACTCCTTTAGAGACCCTGCCTCCTGGTGCACTCACATTCAGAGACAATGGGTTAGTACTTTAGTGTTTTAATTTGGAAGAACATATTTCAACCCACAGAAAGGCAAAGTCCCATGAGCCCCTAACATGGAGTACCATGTAAAAAGCATGGCGTAACATCCTCTGGTGGACATGTAAGGGACAGGTGGCTGCCTTTCTCAGACCCTAGAGGTCTCCCTGACTTTCTCACCTTTCCTAACCACAGGCTCGCTGGTTGGCCAGAGGCTCTCAGACCACCCTGATGTAAGGAAAATAGGGTTCACAGGCTCCACAGAGGTGGGAAAACACATCATGAAAAGGTAGGTCGGTCATCTGAACCGTGGAATCTGGTTATAGAGATGATGACCCCACAAGCTGGGTCCTGCTTCTTGGGTGTTGGTGGGCATAGCTGCCCCCAGCATGTCAATACAGTTTCAGAGTTTTCCATAAGCCCTTGAGAAGTTCAGTGGAGGCCACACAACCCAGCAGGGTTCGGGTACCATGCAATCTCCTAACCCCAGCAGTGCTAGAAGTCAGCAGATCTGACTTGAGATTGCCATGAGTATGAACTAGACACTGATCTTAAAAATCCAACACACACTCAGCTGTACTCGTTCATAACTTTTATACTGGTTACAAACCGACCTGGTGATGTTTTAGATTAAATGGAATCTATTGCAGTTGGCTTTCTGTATCCATGGTGTCCACATGGCAGATTCAAACAGCTGCAGATTGGAAATATTTGGAAAGTCAATTTTGCCTGTACTGAACATGTCTGACCTTACATTTACCTAGCCAGTACAAGTATTCATACCATGCTTACATTGTGTTGGACATCATGTACAGAGAGCTGTGGGTACAAGATGAGTATAGCTTCTGTGCATATTGTCTGTAAGGAGCCTCAGCACCAGAGGGCTTCGGTGCATACAAGGCTGCTCTGAGTCACGAGCAGTACTGGGACGGGGAACCCTTACCCTTGGGTGATCTAGAACAAGAAGACCTGTTCTCTCAGGCCATGCTTGGCACTTACTTTAGGTGGCATGGCTGAAGTATGACTCTTGCTCGTGGACACATGTCTGTGATTCCTGACATCTTTCTGCTTGGTCACTAAAACCCTGAGATAGCCCTATCTTACCAACACAGCTCTCAGGCCACAGCTACTCCAGCTGAGGGATGAGTCTCTTTAGGATATACTCACCCCACATTTCTGGAGCACCAGCTGTGTGCTAGGCACTGGGATGTCATAGGAACCAGACAAGTGCTACTGTAGGGAGGCCTGCCTTCTCACAAATGGTCATTCATAAACACACAGTGGAGCACAGCATCTGACAGAGGCACAGGGAGGTGAGGGTTTTATATGGGATGATCAGAAAAGGATGCTAAGAAGGGGACAGAGTGGAGTGGAGGAGGACACCTGTGAGTATGCAAGGCCGAGCCTGGGCTGGGCTGGGTGTTAGGGGAATAGGAGATGGCCCAGTGGTAGGAGGTGGTATGGATTGTAGGTGTCAGGGCAGTGTCTGGTGGCTCTTGGACTTGCCTTGAACGCCACCTACAAGCCCCTGTGCTCTGGGCCACCTGACATTAGTTCCACCTCTCTGTTCCTTCCAGCTGTGCCCTGAGTAATGTGAAGAAAGTCTCCCTGGAGCTGGGTGGAAAATCACCCCTTATCATCTTTGCTGACTGTGACCTCAACAAGGCTGTGCAGATGGTGAGGCTGGACCCGGGGTAGAGAGAGACGGGAACCTATGGGAGGAAGAAGTGGGAGGCATCAGGGCAGAGGCAGAGAAAGGGGAGTGCAGCATCTCTCAACATCTATGGTTAGCCTACAGCTGTACAACCATCCATGACGTCACCACAAGTTTAAGTAGCATAATGAGAAGCACCCTGGGGCTAAGGATGTGTTCGCCACAGCGTATTCCCAGCATGTCCCAACTGTCATACCATTGAGCTAGATGCATGGATTGGGAACGTGAGTAGGCTGCCTCTCATGGCACTTGTGGAAAGCAAAGTATCCCTTGGGCATGACCCTGCTGACAGCCGCCAGTCTGCCAATGACCCTATGCATATGTGCTCAGGGTCTCCACCTATGCACTGGGTAGTCACAGGCTAGGCCTCAGCATACCCATCTGCACAGGGCCAAGGAAATACCCATCTGTGGTGACTAAGGACTCAGGACAGTGACTGTATGTGGCATATGCCATAGAAGTGGATATTGGTATTGTCACCTATGTACCTTGGTCCTCTCTCTGTTCTTTGCATACCAGTCAGGCCCATTCAGCCAGATATCCAACTATCTTAGCAGCCTGCCTAAGCCTCATTCTGCCTGGGAGGAGCCATGACACTCAGCAGAGTCCTAAAAAGGAGTTCTGTCTTGCTTGATAGGAAGCTGAGGGAGGCCAGGTCCTTGTTCATGTCCCCCTTGAGCCCAACAGCCCAGGGTCTTGGCTCAATGCAAGATGCTGCTGCTGCTGCTGAGTCCTACACATAGAGGGAGGCCTGTGCCAACTGTTGGGCTATGCCATGCAGGCCAGGAGAGCTGGACTGGACTTGGCATCCTATCCCTGGCCTCCTGCTGTAGGCCTCACAGCTCCTAGTGTGTCCTGATGGGTTTCCTGTACTCCTGCAAGGGCTTCCCTGGAACCAGAGCTGTCCCCTCAGTCTTGCTCACAACCTATACATACAACCTGGTTCCAAGAAGACCTGGTACCTTTTGGGTCACCCAGTAAGCCTACTGATGGTCTCAGGGAGCAGGCAGGCTCAAACTCACCCCATACTGTTCTCTATTGTTTGTGTGAATAGCATCTCTATCTCCGCAGTGGGGGAGGCCTCTATGGCTTCCTCTTACCATGTGACCTGTGTCCTCATTTCCCACTGCCACCTCTTGCCTCCACAGGCTGAGGGTTGCACAGGACATATGTATCCAGTGCTGGTCAAGCCTGACCCATCCGAGGGAGGAAGGCAGGATGCAGGCACACCCCTTCTTCCCTGAGAAGAAAGAGCAGTCCTGACAGGCACTAGGGTAAAAGCACTGAGGTGATCCATGACCTGTCATTTCTGTCCTTCTCTGAAGGGCATGAGTTCCGTTTTCTTCAACAAAGGGGAGAACTGCATTGCGGCAGGCCGGCTCTTTGTGGAGGACTCCATCCATGACCAGTTTGTGCAGAAAGTGGTAAGTTCAAGGCTAGAGTCTGAGCTGGAGGGGCAGGCTGCAGGAGAGGTGGTAGTACCCAGTGAAGAGTAGCTGGGCTCCACTCATCGGTACCACCTACCTGTTCAGAGGATCCCTGGGGAACTCTCTTGAGTCTTGAGCTCAAATTGACATAACCAAAAGGGCCTATGGGCTGAGAGTCTCTCGGGGCCTAGTGCTTGCCCAGGCTTTGGGTTCCATCCTCACCACCACCACAAAGAAGAGGCATCCTCCAGAAACGGAGCCTAGGATAAGGATCAGGTGTGCAGGATTCACGGGGCTGCCCTCCTTAGGTGAAGCCATAGGAGGGAGCAGGAGAGGACAGGGCAAAGGAGAAGAGAGCAAGGACACAGGGCCTCAGAGACCCCTAGCAGCATCCCTGGAGCAGGAAGTACCCTGTGCAGGTGCCCAGAGTCAAGAGGCCAGGCTCTGCCACCAGCCTACAATGTTGGGCAGTAGTTGCCTCAAGCTGGCCATGGGTTGAGGAGGGCAACTTCTGCCAGCTTCCAAGACTAACGTCAGACTAAGAGCCTCTGGGGACCTGGCAGGTGCCAAGCAGCAGCTCCCACTGGAGTTACTGGCTGATTTAACAAAACCCCAAAGGGCCGACAATGGCTTTGGGAACAAATAGGTCTTCTTGGCCCATAGGCATGTCTTGTTTGTTTATTGTTTGTTGTTTGTTTGTTTATATGTGGTACCTTAGCTAGTGAGATTATTGTCCTGTCACTGAGCCTGAGCCCTGGCAAGGAATGTTTTTAATGCCTGATTTCTAGATTTCTCTGTGGATTGGCTTCTGACCAGCTTCATTATGTGAGGTTGACAGCTGTAGAACGACACTTTTCTAACATAAAACCAGAGAGGGGAAAACTCCAGTTGTTAGGATGAAGTTATGCCTGGGCACAGGCCGGCCCAGCCAGAGGCACCATCCACCTTCAAAGTCTAGACAGTGTCAAGGCGATGGCGTCTGAGTCAGGAGGTGTTCCTGTGACAACTGAAAGCCCATCTTAGATCCTGAAGATCAGGCAGGAACCTAGCAGAAATGTACAGGGATTCTGAGAGGTGGCGGGTCTACCTGTCACTTTCCATACACTGTGGCTAGGACAGCCTGAGGAAAGGGTAGGATGACATTGCCACTTTGAGCATTCCCTGGGGGAAAGTCTGTGTAATCGAGCACCAGAGATAAATGGTTCATATGGAAGAGAGGTTTGTTCTCGTTCACGGTTTCAGGGCGCGTGGTCACTTGGCCTAGTTGCATTGGGCCTGTGTTAAGGCAGAACATCTTGATAGGGAGTGTACAGCAGAGCAGAAGCACTGACCTCATGGCTCTGAGAGAAGAGAGGAAGAGTCAGGATCCCAATATCTCCTTCAAGGGAACACCGCCAGTGACCTCACTCCTCTCTGCTATGTCTTGTCTCCTAAAGGTTCCACTCTATCTCAGCAGTGCCCACCCCCCAACCCCGCAACCAAGCCTTCAACAAATGGGCCTCGGGAGGATACCAGGGCTGCACCAGAGTAGTCAGGAATGGATCTCAGAATGAAAGGCAACAAAGACAGGAAAGGACTGGGCAGCTGTGCTGCATAACAAAGGGCACACAACACCCGGTAGTGAGTTCGCCTGGCTCACAGTCCATCCTGACTAGGCGAGCACTGAACTGAAGAGGGTGGAGACAACACTGTGTGATCTCAAGACTCCAGGGCAGGAGTCCGGGAGCCAGGCCACACAAGAAAGGGTCTGGAGAGACTCTCCCAGAGATCTGTCTTGTTGGCCTCTGATTCTGATCATCTGTGTTCCTCATAGTTTTGGTTGTGAGCCTAGCCTTTAATGGTTGAGCCATCTCTCCAGGCTGTATTTCCTTTCTTAATCCTATATCCTGACTCACTTAAAAAAAAAAAAAGGTGATTTTATGTGGATATGTGTTTCTCCTCTGTGTGTGTGTGTGTGTGTGTGTGTGTGTGTGTGTGTGTGTGTGTACACTACATGCTTGGTATCTGCAGATGTCAGAAGGCCTTGACTCCCCTGGAACTAGAGTTAATGGATGGTTATGAGCCTCCATGTCTGGGAACCAATCCCTGATCCTCTGGCAGAGCAGCTGGTGCTTTTAACCTATGAGCCATCTCTTCAGCCCCTGATTTATTTTCTGTCCCCTACCATCCCAAGCTCCAGAGCCATTAAGTCACCTCCTCTGTCACTCCCTGATGACTCCCTTGGATGCATCTCTAAGTCACAAAGCCTAGACTCACTTAAAGGTGTCTGAGGCAGAGGGAAGGCTTCCCGGAGGAGGCCACTCTCAAGCTAATTGTTGAAATAGAGGAAAATGAAGGCAAAGATTGGTAGATGATCCTCAGAACCCTTCTCTCTGTTCAGTGTCTGTCCTTCTGTCACTGAAACTGCTGCAGGAGATAGGATTGAAGTCAGGCTGGGAAAGCCCCATTGGCTGGGAAATGGCATCCACATGTTCCTCTGGGATCTGTGGTCAGCACAAAACTGCAAAGGTTGGGACCACAAAGGTCGGAGGTGTCTAGGTACCGACCATCACAGAACACAGTGGTAGCATTGATCAGGACCTGACCCGAGGACCTTCTACAGGTGGAGGAGGTGGAGAAGATGAAAATCGGCAACCCCCTGGACAGAGACACCAACCATGGTCCGCAGAACCACGAGGCCCATCTGAAGAAGCTGATGGAGTATTGCCAACGTGGTGTGAAGGAAGGGGCCACACTGGTCTGTGGTGGGAACCAAGTTCCAAGGCCAGGTCAGTTAGAATTCTCCACTTCACTTGGGTAAACTGAGGTAGCAAACACTAGGACTCTGGTTTCCAGCCCAGCCCTAACTGGATATAGCCAGAGACCAAGTACTGGTTGATCAGGATCGAGGCCTGCAGTTCAGAGTCAGACCTTGGACATAATGGGCCTTGGCTGTTTGGTCACTCTCTGGACCCAGGTCTGGGACTGAGAAGGTGAGGACTCCAGAACATTCCCTAGTGCTGGGATAGTCTGCTGTGCAGGGAGTTGCTGGTGGCGACACTGACCCTGGTGGTGGTCTCTAAGGTTTCAAGGTCCTCCCATTTTGGTTTCTCTTTCAACCAGTTGTTTTGTGGTGTTGTGTGACTTCTGGAGAGGCATGAATTAATGCCTACTCACCCCAGACAGGGCACCAGGGACTAACCAAAAAAGATGGACCCACTGATGTCTAGGTTAGTGAGCCAGTGAGTTTATTTGAGTCATTTACAGGGACATGAATGGTTCAAAGGCAGCTACCTCAGAGCCTGGGTGACAACTCTCAGGCTTGTGTCATTTTCTTGAGTGTTATGAACCTCCTCCCTTCCCCCAACCCCCGCCTCCTCCCTCCTCCCTCCAACGAGTGTTTTAGTGCAGAGGAAATAGCTAGGCAACAGGTGGAAACTCCACAGTGTCCCTCCAGTGTTGGTCAGCTGCCCTTAGCTGGGAGTGAGCCTGTGCCTGGGGCAGGCAATCCTTGAGTTGGTGCAGATCTTCACAGACACATGGCTCAGGCCACCCATCCAGAGCTCTTGACAGAGTCAGTACTAGTTAGATACTTCTTCCTGACAGTCCCAGGCACTTGGCTTTATCAGTCATCTTACTGTCTTAGTTGCTTTTCTTTTGCCGCAAAGACACCATGACCAACACAATGTACAGAAGAGTTTATTGGGTTTACAGTTTCAAGGGGTGAGTCCATCATGGCAGAGAGCATCGCTCTGGGCAGTTACAACACTGAAGTAATAACTGAGAGCTCACATGCTGAGACAAAAACAATGGGCAGAGAGAGCTAACTGGGAATGGTGTGGGCTTTTGAAACCTTACAGCCTGCCTCCAAACACACACCTCCTTCAGCAAGACATGCCTCCTAATCCTTCCCAAGCATTTCCACTAATACGTGAGCCTATGGGGGTCGTGCTCATTGAAACCAGCACAGTGTCTGAGCTCAGGCACACCTGCTTCTCTGGAATCTACTCTCACTTCTAGCCTCCCAAACCAGGAAATCAGAAGCCACATGGATGGAGTCTTGTGCTGCCTACCCATGGAACCACAGATCCACATCCTGGCTGCCTTTGCTATCTGCCTTTTATACTCTATACAGAATTCTGCACAGGGGAGGCTCTCCTTGGCAGATGGAAAGGAGGAGGGGGACAGAGGACACACATCTGACCCCTTGATTTTAATTCTCTCCTGGTTCTGTTAAGTCTGGCACCTCATTTATGTTTTGGCTCTCCTGTACCTTCTGCACCTCATCCTGCCAAGTGTCCCTGTGAGTCAGCCATTAATCTTTTGTTTATTCACCCTCTGAGAACTCTTGGGTTCTGATACCCAGCAGTGTCCTCCTGCTTCAGGGACAAGTTCCCCGACTGCCTCCATGGTCTCATTTGTGAACAGTGTGACTTGCCCTCGGTCCCCAGCCTCCATCTTGCATTCTCTCTTGATGCTTCTCATCTTCTGCTGTATTGGCTGTTCTTCAGCTTGACAGACAGCTCCCCAGCAGAACCCAGAGAACAACATGTTACTTAGCTCAAGTGGCATTCAAGCACAAACTTCCCTCCATCACCAAAGTGAGAGTTCCTTAAGGCTGGGGACAGTGTGGCAAGCCCTAGCAGGGGGCATATGGCAAGCATTGCTCACAGAGCAGGGAGAGGGACCCAACGGGGCCAGTACATCCCCAGGGACATAGGGGCAGCACATCTGCTCTCTGAACTAGAAGGTGGGGAGTTTTCTGGAACCTAGTCAAGATCAGCACAGATTAGGGCTGACTCTTTTTGGCCATTTCTACCTGGAAGGCAGAGGATGAGGTGCACCTGTTAGAACCAGAGTGAACAGAGTGCTGTGTGAGCCAGGCTCTGGCCAAGGTAGGAAAGAGACTGTCAGGGACTTACACTGCCAGCATGCCTCAGACCACTGTCTCCTCTACAGGCTTCTTCTTTCAGCCAACCATTTTCACAGATGTTGAGGACCACATGTACATCGCTAAGGAGGAGTCGTTTGGGCCCATCATGATCATCTCTCGGTTTGCTGATGGGTATGTGATCCCCCATGTCTCTCTGGGCTTTTCCTCTGTGTGCATGGAGTCTTGACATGAACTGTAAAGAATCTGAGTCAGCAAAGAACCTGTGCACCATGCCTAGGCTACCTGCCTCTTAAAACACAGGAGGATCTTGGCCTCCCTTTGCTTCCCCTCCCCTTGGCCAGGAAGGCTCCAGGGCCAGATGAGCAAAAACAAATTTTCTCCCATGTTCCTGCTTTCCTGGGTCTTCCCTGCGTTTCTCTGACATTACTTACAGCCTGCCAGGTCCGGTTCTCATGGTGTCCTGTGAGTAGTAAATTGACCCTACCCAAGTGGCCTGGGACATCTTGGGTCTTACTCATGAATGAGCTTCAGGTTGGCTGGATGGAGTGAGCTTTTCTCTGCTCCATGCCACATCTGTATTTTCTGGGTACAAAAAAGGCAGCTGTGCTCACCTGGGCTCCATGAGCCTCCATGGCAGCCTAGGGCAGGGCAGGTCACTGGCCTGGAGCCTGGGTCATATGGAAACCAAGGAGGTAGCAAGGATCCTTGGGAGCTAGCTTCACAGCCCACTTGTCAGCCCAACAGCCATCAAGGCTACCAGGATAAAGAGAAGGAAGGGTCCATGCACAGTGGAGGAGCTACAGAGCTGTGGGCACATTTGACCATCCATACTTTTTTTTTT